TGTTTTACATCACAGTTTAATTATATGGCAAATTGTTGAGAACAGGTTTTTGTTTTTGGAAATAGGGTCTCACTCTGTAACCCAAGCTGGGTTGCAGTGGTGTGATCACAGCTCACTACAGTCTCAACCTCCTGGGCTCAAGTCTCCAAGTAGCTGAGACTACAGGCGCACAGCACCATGCCTGGCTAATTTTTTGTATTTTTGTAGAGAATACAAAATGCAATTTTATGTCGCCCAGGCTGGTTTCGAACTCCTGGGCTTAAGCAATCCTCTTGCCTTGGCCTCCCAAAATGCTGGGAATACAGGTATGGGCCACCACGCCTGGCCAGAACAGGTGATTTTTAAAGGATCCAGTTATTTAGATGCGTTATAACAGATGTACATGATATAAAATAGAGTAGAATCTTTCTCTCAGGAGTTGGTGCTCTACAGTGGCTGCCTGAGTGAGAATTCCTCAAGAGTAATTTAGGGCCTTTCCTTAGGGAAAGGAAAGGGGAAAAATTAATTTGACGCAGTCTTAGAAATTCTATTACCCAACAGTATCGTAAGTTAATCTTCTTAAATTCCTATTATACCTAGTATTTCCAGTCCCTTTGACTGTTTTTGACTTCCAGGTTCCCATTTCGGGCCTGGCCGTCTGACTGCACCCCTGCGATTTCACCGATACTTTCCCGCCCTGCATTCCTCCACCCACCCTGCAGAGTTGTATAAATGTCCATTTACGCAGCTGATTTTCCTCCGTTTCCTTCGATTCATTCTCAGATGACAAATTCCTCAGGGGCAAAAACTAGGCCTTCAAGTTTCTTACGAATGACTTACAGTAAGGATGTAAGTACTGGTTATTGGTAAAAATCTTTTGCTAGTCTCAAACTCTTTCAAAACATTGAAGACGGTGGAACATTTCCCAACTCATTCTGTGACACCAGCATTACCCAGACACCAAAGCCGGGCAAAGACACTACAAGAAATAAAAATTACAGACCAAAGTCTCTGATCAATATTGACGGAAACACTGTCAACAAAATACTAGCAAGCGGAATTCAGGAGCATACCAAAAGTATTATGCACAATAACCAAATGGATTTATCCCTGGAATACAAGGATAGTTTCACATATGAGAAACAGCATAATATATCACACTGACACAGTAAGAAAACAGGTGATCATCTCAATTGATACAGAAAATTTGACAAAATTCAATACCCGTGATTTAAAAAAAGCCACACCCAAATTGAAATAGAAACATGATACAGGCCATGTGTTAAATACCCATAGATAGTATCGTACTATGGTACAAGACTAAAAGCTTCTCCTCTAAGATAACAAGACAAGAATGCCTACTTCTACCACTTCTATTCAATGTAATATTGAAAGTTCTAGCTAGAGCAATTAGGCAAAACAAGTAAATAAAAGTCATCCAAATTTGAAAACAGGCCAGGCACGATGGCTCACGTCTGCAATCCCAGCACTTTGGGAGGCTAAGGCAGGTGGATCACCTGAGGTCAGGAGTTCGAGACCAGCCTGGCCAACATGGTGAAACCCTGTCTCTACTAAAAATACACAAATTAGACGGGTGTGGTGGCAAGCGTCTGTAGTCCCAGTTACTCGGGAGGCTGAGGCAGGAGAATCGCCTGAACCTGGGAGGTGAAGGTTGCAGTGAGCTGAGATCATGCCACAGCAATCCAGCCTGGGCGACAGAGTGAGACTCCAGCTCAAAAAAAATAAAAAAATAAAAAAAAATGTTTGAAAACAAAGAATGATTATCTGTTAGCAAATGGCATAATCTTACAGGTAGAAAACCTTAAAGATTCCACACCAAAAAAAAACTAATAAAGCTAATTATTCAGCAAAGTTGCAGGACATAAAACCAACAAGCAAGTATTAGTTGCATTTCTATATACAATGAACAATCCTAAGAGGAAATTAAGAAAATAATCCCATTTATAATAGATCAATAATAAAATACTCAACAGACCTGTACAATAAAAACAATAAAACGGTGTTCAAAGAACTTAAAGACCTAAATAAATGGAAAGACATCAGTGTTCACAGATTAGACTTAAAATTGTTAAGTCAATTTAATCTTCCTCTCAAGTACCTGGGATTATAGGCATAGAATTTAATCTATTGTCAAACACTACCCAAAGCAATTTAAAGATTAAATGTAATCTTTGAAAATCCCATTGACAATTTTTGCATAAACAGAAAAACCTAAGATTCACATGAAACTTCGAAGGGCCTTAAGTAGCCAAAATGATCTTGAAAAAGAACAAAGTTGCAAGACTCATACTTCCTTACTTCAAAACTTACTACAAAGCTACATTAATCAAAACAGTGTGGTACTGGCTAAGACAAATGGGACAAAAGAGAGTCCTGAAATAAACCCTAGCATACATGGCCAACTGATTTTGGCACCTCATTCATTGGGAAAAGGAGTCTTTTCAGTAAGTGGTGCTGGGAACAGTGGGTACCAACATGCAAAAGAATGAAACTGACCATTACATCACATACTAAAATTAACTCAAAATGGATCAAAGACCTAAATGTAAGAGCTAAAATAATACTCTTAGAAGAAAACACAGGGCAAAAGTTTCATGACATTGGATTTGGTGATGCTTTCTTAGATATACCAAAAGCAAAGACAACAAAAGAAAAATTAGGCCAGGTGAGGAGGCTTACACCTGTAATCCCAGCACTTTGGGAGGCTGAAGTGGGAGGACTGCTTGAGCCCAGGAGGTGAGAGCAGCCTGTGTAACATAGTGAGACCCCCACCGCTACAAAATATTTAAAAATTAGCTAGGTGTGGTGGCACATGCCTATAATCCCAGGTACTTGAGAGGCTGAGGCAGGAGGAGCACCTGAGCCCAGAAATTTGAGACTGTAGTGAGCCACTGTGATTGTGCTACTGCACTCCAGCCTGGTGGGAATGGGACCCTGGGGAGGAAGGGAGGGAGGAAGGCAGGAAGGGAGGAAGGAAGGAGGGGAGGAGAGGAGGAAGGGGGGAGTGGAGGAAGGAAGGAAGGGGGAGGGGAGAGAGGAAGGGAGGAAAAGAGGCAGAGGAAGGGAGGGAGGGAGGGAGGGGAGGGGAGGGGAGGGGAGGGGAGGGACGAGGGGAGTAAAGGAGAAAAGGAGGGAGAAAGAGGGAGGGAGGGACGGAGGGAAGGAAGGGAAGGAGAAAGAAAAAGAAAAGAGAGAGACTGACTGCATCAAAATTTAAAACTTAAAACTTCTGTGTATCAAAGGATACTATCTATATCCAATGCTTATTATTTTCTGAATTTTTTTATAATAGCAAGAATGAAAAAAAAACTGGAACACTGGTACATTGCTGGTGGAAATGCAAAACGGTACAGCTGCTGCGGAAAACAGTATGGCTATTCCTCAAAAAGTTCAATATAGAATTCCACATGCTTCAGCAATTCCTAGATCTATACCCAGAAAACCCAAAATCTGGGGCTCAAACAGACACTCGCACACCAATGTTCACAGCAGTGTTAGTCACAACTGCCAAAAGATGTAAATAACCCAAATGTTCATTAATGGATGAAGGTATAAACAAAATGTGGCATATACATAAAGAGGGCAAACAGTGATTCTTCCACCTCTATGAGGCACCTAGAGCAAGTTCATCAAGAAAAAAGCAGAATGCAGGTTCACAGAGGCCGCGGGAAGGGAAGAAGTACGGGCAATGACTATTTAACGGGTACAGAGTTCCTGTTTGGGACAATGAAAAGAATTCTGGAAATGGATGGCAGTGGTATTTGCACATCGCGAATGTACTGTCACTTAACTGGACGCTTAAAAATGACTAAAATAGTAATTTTTAGGTTATTTTACCACAACAACAACAAAAAATCTTTTGGTAAGGATAGCCATGGTTAAGGGCTTGGACACTGGAGTTATACCAACTTGAAACCTGGACCTGCTACTTTCCAGCTGAGTGGCTCTAAAAAGGTACTTAACCTCTAAAGAGCCATAGATTCTTCTTTTGTAAAATGAGGATGTCACTGTCTCATAGATGTGGTTAAGATTAACATTAAAAGAAGTAAAATACCGAGCACAGGGGCCATCACATAGCAGGCTATCACCCAAAAGCAATGGGTTGTTATTTCAGTAGCTCTGCAGACAGAACAGAGGCACGGTTATTATAGAAAACACATGAATGAAGAGAGATGGGAAAAACCTTGACATGCTAACAGGCACAGGTACTGGTAACGGGGAATCATGAAAAAAAGTTTGTGGCAAGGGACTCTCAGCTTTTCAACAGTTCATGAAAAACTTTCAGGTATAGAGGATTTCATTTACTAAAAGTTCCATAAGAAGTGTGTGATACAGATGCTTAGAAAAGAGAATGCGATCGCAGGTCCAACTGACAGTATAGTTCACCTGTCACTGTGCTTGTTCTAGGCACACTCCTTCAGAGACATGAATGACAAACAGTGCTTCCAGAACAGGGCTCCCGGGAAGAATGAAGTCTCCGAAAGCCACCTGATACAAAGATCAGCCTTGAGATCAGAGGCACACTGGGAGAATGAAGGATGGACTGAAAATAATGGCAACGTAAGTAACAATTCAAGTTACTCAGTAACGGAACCGGCTTCCAGCACTCAAGTGCAGGCTGACTGACCACTTGTGAAACAGATTTTACAGGAGCAATTACTACACAGGAAAAGAGGAGGAGCAGGAGAAACAGTGACCTTTAAGGTATTTTACCTGCTTTACCCTCTAAGATTCTATGACTCTCAATTTTCAAATTTAAACTTTGAACTTTTCAAAGACATGCTATCACAGAAACATGACACCAGCTACTACGTGCTAAATGAATGCAGGCACATGTAGAATGTTATTTTACACACATGCAATTCTGTCCTAGGGAAAATCTCTTTGGATACAGAAGTAGGAGCTTGGGCAAAAGTAGTAGCACAATTTCTGAAGTGTCCAATTCTAATCTGTAAATACATTTTAGGCAAAAAGGAAAAAACACACTTAAAACCCACAGGCACAAATAAACCAACTTTAATAGATATTATTTTATATTTATATAGCGCCTTCTTCAAGAACCTTAAATGCTTTACAGACATTATCTCTAATTAATCCCCACAACAACCCTGTGAGGTAGGTATTACTCCCATTTTACAAGACAGGGAGACTGAAGCACAGAGAGGTTAAGTGACTTGCCCAAGGTCACACAGTTAAATTCACTGAAGAGCCAGGACATGAGCGCTTTAGCCTCCCAGCTCCCAGTCAAATACCTCATGATAGAATCTTTAATAAAAAGTGTTTTTAAAGAAAGTATCAAGAGTAGTTATGAAAATGAGGTCTTTCTACTGCCATCAAGGAAAGAAAAAACCCTATACTGATGGTTAGAGGCCCCAAGACCCACATAATACAACATTTCCTTCTTTCCCTGTTCCCAAGCCTCCTGGTTCCTGTCTTAAGTAATCTTTTAAAGGTAAAATTTCCAAGACAGAAGCCATGTGACTTAAGAAGTGGGATTTAATTTAGAATATTTACTTTTAGTTACAATAATTTATAGAAATTTTTATTCCAATATACAAAATATGGGACAGCCATCCCAACAATCATGTACATAGTTACATAGCAATCGGCCACCATTTACAACTTAAACCAGCCCTGCATTTTAATCACAGTCAACCAACATACAACCTCACAATGCTTTCTTCATGGGTCACTTTTCTTACTTACTATACCTGTATTTTTCCCCCAACCCTGACCCTATATGTTTTAAAAGTATATTGAGTTTCTTCAAAACATTTTACTTAGATCCAGCTGCATTAAGAAGAAAAAGTAAATGTAAAACTGTCACCCCACAGTCCCTCCCCTGACAAATCATACTATGAAGTATGATGTAGATGTGAATAAGTATGTGATTACCAGGAACTCAACACATATACTAGAACTTGCTTTAATATGAAATGTAACTTGGCTTTTACTGCATGTTTTTTCTTTAATGCAAAAATGTAAAAACAAACACAACGTAGTATTTCAATGCTGTACCTTTATGCAAATGACTTCATCTATCTTTTCTTAAACATGTTGTGATATAGCTAATGTTAAAACTGACACAGCTTCACTTACCTCTTTTTCTCTGTACTGAAAGCTGCAGAAATACAGCTTTAATTCCAAGACAATTTGGTTGAAGCCCTCAAAATAAAAAGAGCACATCCACTTTCACCGCCCTGACTTTCCCCACATGGTTGATTGTGATTCTCTGTGGCATGTTGGTAGATCAGGCTGGCTATATATAATTTGTACAAAACATCTCTAGCCAGGGTAAGGCTTTAGGAACTATCTTAAAAAGAAACTTGTCAAAATAATTTTGATATTTAGTATAAATACTATTATTATAATTTTCTCCCAGCACATGTGTTTAAGTAGCCCAATTACCTAAGTGACCCTGTTAAAGGTCTGCTTATGGAACAAATAGGTGAAGTCATTTCCTGAGCCAAAAGATACAGATAATAAATGTTAATAATAGCAGCAGACTAAAAAATTCCTTTTTGTTGTTTGTTTTCCATAGTCAACAGTTTTAGCAAAAGAACTTTAGAAAATGACAATTTTTTTTTTAATTTACTGCCTGAAAAGAATTTAATAAAGAACATCCAAGGCCTGATTGCTATTATTCTGAATATAATTTTCAATAATTTTCTGCAAGTTACATTCGGCTACTGTCAGACAACTTTCTGATGCATGGAAAAACGTCCAAAAAAACTGCGACGGTTTGCATACATTTTATGTTACATATATTATTTCTTAAAACCCCCAACAGAATGAAGTCTTAGCAAACACAAATTTTAATTTCTGAACACCCTTCCAGTAAGATTGTAAAGGTGCGGGGAAGGGGAGGAAGGACTTTTTTTTGTATTCCTAGTCTACTTGATTAAAATTTAATCTTCAAAGGGTTTGTTTAGCTCGCTATCCAGGCTGCTAGGGTTATGATGAACATTATTACTTATTTCCAGGGTAAAAAAATGACATCTGAAAATAACATAAATGCTATGACAAGATTTCCCAAGCATGACCTCAACTTGAAACATCAGAATACTTAAGAATTCTAAAGATTGGTATACCACCACTGCACCAGAATTTTTAATTATTCCAACAACTACAGGAATTTTTTTATAGTTTTTTAATTTTATGAAATTAAAGCTGAAGAAAATAACTGATTTAGAAACCATAACAAAAGGACAAATACTTAGCCAGAGATATCAGTTCCTCCTGAAAAAGGATATTTACCTCCTCTCACTGCAGTTTTTCTCAAGGTATCTTACTGATTTCAGATAAAATTTAAAATTCACCTTAAAAATAGAAACAAACAAAAGGACTACTTAAACTGACATTAACTGATAAAAATATGTTCAAATTTACTGACAGAATCATGGGCACTTCATACAATACTTAGACTCTACCAGTTTTAAGTAAAATAAATAAGGAAAAAATTATAATTACAAAGCCAGTCTTTCCCCTTGGGGAAACAAAAAGCCACTTTTGACCAATTGCTCCCTACATATACATACACTGTATATTATTATAAGCTTCTTCAGAGAAGCAAAACATCTTTGTCTTCCTGACACTGGATTATCTAGCATGTTAGGTTTTACATCAGGAAGGCAACTGCAAGTGTTGGGCCCAAAAGTATTTCTGGTTTACTCTTGAAAAGACCACCGAATATGCTTCTATACACACTGAACCAGGCAAATTTATGCAGTGTGTTCAACATCATCTCCTTATCAATACAGCACAGATCCCGATTCTTTCTACTGTACTCCCAAGGAATTCAAAGCATTATTGGTGCAATTAATGAAGAGAAAATGCGTGTCAATGACTGGAAGGCTGTTTTACAAGAGGAGCTGGTATCTCTGATTTCACCTCCTTGTTGAATGGAACTGTACAGACAGCATGATACCTGAGCAAATAAATCAACTACCATGATCGGAAGGGCTTGTCAATCCATCGTCTTTGCTTTATCATGTGCAAAGTGTGCTACTGCCCCCTGAGCTTCCTGCATTTCTCTTTTCTTGAAAAATCAGTGCTTGATCCTTTCCAAAATAACCAGAGAAGAAATGAGGCAGAAAGTATCTCTTCATCACGGTTCCCCCTCAGTCCCGAGACTGATAGAAAAGGATGTAACCAGACTCAGAGTTCTTTGAGATATCTGATGTCAACCCGTAGAATTCTTCAATAGCCTGTGCATCTATTTTCTGTGAGGCAAAATGTAAACATTAGTACATAAATGAGCTCTGTACAGTCAGATGGCTTAAATTTAATAGACTGATAATACCAAGTATTTGGGGAAAATGGAACTCTCACACATAGCTGGCAGGGCACTCTGAAAACATGTTTAGAAATACCTATCTTCTTCTTTTTTTTTTTTTTTTTTGAGACGGAGTCTCGCTCTGTCCCCCAGGCTGGAGTGCAGTGGCCGGATCTCAGCTCACTGCAAGCTCCGCCTCCCGGGTTTTCGCCATTCTCCTCCCTCAGCCTCCCGAGTAGCTGGGACTACAGGCGCCCGCCACCTCGCCCGGCTAGATTTTTTGTATTTTTTAGTAGAGACGGGGTTTCACTGTGTTAGCCAGGATGGTCTCGATCTCCTGACCTCGTGATCCACCCGTCTCGGCCTCCCAAAGTGCTGGGATTACAGGCTTGAGCCACTGCGCCTGGCCAGAAATACCTATCTTCTAAAGCTGAACATACAACTACCCTTTGACCCAGCAATTCTACTTCTAGATATAGGATGAATTAGATGAAACCACTAATAACTATTTTGGACCTACAAAATGGCAACTTCCAGGTCGGGCACAGTGATTCACGCCTGTAATGCCAGCACTGTTGGAGGCCAAGGCTGGCGGATCACCTGGGGTTAGAATTTCAAGACCAGCCTGACCAACGTGGAGAAAGCCCGTCTCTACCAAAAATACAAAATTAGCCAGGCATAGTGGTGCATGCCTGTAATCCCAGCTACTCGGGAGGCTGAGGCAGGAGATTCACTTGAACCCAGGAGGTGGAGGTGGCGGTGAGCCGAGATCGCACCCTTGCACTCCAGGAGCCTAGATAACAAGACTCTGTCTCCCAAAAAAACAAAAAGGCAACTTCTAGTGGTCCAACCTAACATATACCCAAGGAAAATGAGTGTATACGTCTAGCAAAAGGCTTGTAAAAGATGACCAATGCATTTTAATTCATAATAGTCATTAACTGACAAAAAGTCAAATTTCTAACTTGGTATATTCGTACAGTAGACAATGACAAAGCAGTAAAAAAGAACTGCCATCACTGCAGGCAACAAGAATGCACCTCACAAATATATTCAGTGAATAAAGTCTGATACAAACAAAATCATACTGTATGAGTCCATTTATATTGAAGCCTAGGCAAAATTAATGATAAAAGTCCAAATAGCAGGCTCCAGGAGGGTAGAGGTGAGGAAAGCTTAAGTTCTGACCAGAAGGAGGAACAAGGGGGCCTGCTGCGGTGTTGAAAATGAATTGTATCTTGACCTGGATGGTAGTTACAAATGTGAGTGTGTCTCTGTGGCTGTGTGTGTGTGATGGGGGGGACATACATATACAAATTCATCAAATTGAGACTTGTACACTTTACTGTTATGTATGTTACACGGCTTAATTTTTTTTTTTTTAAAGTCAGGTCTGTTGTTGAAAGCATTCCTTTGTTTTATTCCACGTGTGTAAAGGTTACGTGACCATTCAACTGTTGGGCTTGGACGTTGCATAGTAAGAAGTAGGAATCAGACTACAATCTATAGACCCAGACATTTGTCTCATATTCATCACCAGTCATATCTAAATGAGAAACTATCAGAAAAAAGTGAAAAGCAGCATATGCATACAACTTTCAAAAATAAGAGATTAAGAAACTACTTACTTCTACAATGTCGTCATCAAACAACAACCAAAAATCATGACTCTTAACTATTGCAATATAATGGCCTCGATTGGGACCACTAAAACAAACAGAAAAGAAGTTAATTTAACATGATATTTATTAATATTACTCTTTCATGCTCTAAATTTTATGTTTTATACAGCAATTGAAACAAATAGCAGTAAAAAAGAACTGCTTCTTTTTTATACCCCTTAACTATTCTTTCCAAAAAAGATAAAGCTACACTGAGTTGAAATGGTAATCAATTTTAAAAATCAAATAATTAGTACTCTAAGAGATTCTATTCACATAAAGCTGCATTATGGAAATTCTTTACTGTCTTTGTAATAGTTTTCAATTTTGCTTCTATAATAAAAGACAAGGTTTTCTATCATTTTATAAGGGGAGGGGATCACAGCAGAACATGCTGAATTCAACTATAAAACAATGCATACAAGAATTATTTCTAAAGCTCACTCCCTTGGTAATAGTTTTTTTTCTTGAGGAAAGATCCAACATGATGCTTGAAACAGGCAAGGATATCAAATCCTTGGTTCCAAAATCAAGCCTGAACTTCACAAAATGTCTTTAAAAGCAAATGACCTTTGCTCAATGGTGAGTCAATATGAAGTACCTAATGCTTAATACCATTGTAACTATTACTATGATTGCCCCTGTATCTCATTTTAAACAAATCTGGAATATATAAATGTAGACATGCATAAAAATAAACGAGGCGTAACTTCTTTTAAAAGCAATTCTTTGTTTTATAAAAGGATATGACAAAGGCTTTAACCTCTTCCAGTTTAAGCACGGTTCATTATAAAGGCTTATATGGTTATATTTATTCTATTGTGATTCTATAATTAATACAGAATTTGAAATCCTTTTCAATACAAATTATTCCTTATGGTAAACACTATTTTAAAAGTAGTGACCAGATATTAGAATAAGCCACCTCCTAACATGTCTTATGTTTCTCAGATCATTTGATCCTGTAGGTAAGAGAAATACCTTAGGTGACAGAATGACACCAACAAAAATTTTTTTTTAAACTATGGAGGATGACACCTCAAAACTTTCTTTTTAAAAAGCATTTAATGCTTTATTAAGTCTATTTCTACGTTTATTTAGGACCCATCTAAAGGGTCTTGTGTGTTATGGGGAGAGGGTCAGAAACGAAAACAAAATTATAAAAGATGAAATCAAGAAACATCAAAGAAAGGCTGCAGAACACAGGATGGAAGGAAAGGAGGTAGGTGGGGTGAGGACTAGTAAACTGAGAAAAGTTAGGTGGCTTTTTCCTTTGGCAAAGAACTAGTTTGAAGAACAGTAGACAAAAGTTAATTTCATAAACTAAAAATGAAATGAGAGATGAAGGGCTGAACTTCCACCTAAGGAAGCTGTTTCTTAGGCATCTGATTTCTGGACATTAAACACACTCAGTTGAGTAGATATAAATGCCTAATGTATGCAAATAACTATTGACTACTGTGGAGATTAAAGATATTTCAACAACTGCTTGCCCAAATACCCCTTCAGTACGGAGACAGCTACTCCAAAAACATAATCCAAGGCAGAATATGATACAAAAGTAGAGCCACAGGAGAGACCTTATCCAGCAAGAGAGGAGGCGGAAGGGAGAGAGGGATGGGAAATCAAGAAACGGAGCCCAGTTCTGACATGGGCTTGAAGGGTAATATTTAGTCAACAAACATTTGCTAGAAGTCTCTTCTAGGCTGGGAACCAGGGATAGAGAAGGAACAAGCTGAACTGGAACTGACATGCTGATAATGAGGCTGTGCACACCCTCCACACTTTCATATGAAGCAAATCTACAAATAAGTCTGATAAATAAAATACACAATGGAAAAATATTCTAAAATATGATTATCTTTTATTAGCGAGCAAATTATCTCCTGTTTTAAAAAGCACCTGTTCTCATAAGGGAAGCAGACATACATCCTAAGACAGTACACAAAGCACTAAGACAGGGCTAGCACTGCACATCTAGTATTTATGTGGAGACTGAGGCTGGGCAGAAGAGCGTCAAGGAAGATTCCAGAGAGGAGAGGCAGGAAGGCATGAGGCAATGAGAGTGAGACAGGAGAGAGTAAGACCCTGGGGTAGGGGCGGGATCCCAAAGACCTACTGTGCAGAACTCCACCAGAAGTGAGTTCCCAGTGAAGGCAGACCACCAGGGCTGTGAGGAAAGTCAATAAGCATCTCTCTGCAATTTTCTGCAACAATTCTGACAGTAGGGATTCAGACAGCTGGCAAGAGGATTTTACAGTGCTTGTGAGAACATGCTTTAACTGACTGTGGAGTTCAAGTTGGGAGAAGCAAGTGAGGCCAAAGAAAAGGTTAAAAAGGCAAAGGGTCAAGAGACTCAAGGATTTCAGGGTGGGGAAAGGGTTGGGTTAATTTTAAAAGGAGAGAGTGGGGACGGGACCCTGGTTGCCGTCTAAGTCAGGCATCTCAACTCAATGTCTTGTGTGTAGAACATAATTCTAAAAATCTAACATAATTTAAGTAGAGTAGGACTGTTACTAAATTTGAAGAGGCTAAAGAACAGTCTAACTAGGGTGTGAGAAAGTAAATATTATAGAGCTGGGATGTGAGAAGGTAGTATTATATTTTTGTTACTAAGACAGTAGCAGTAGCTGATTTACATCTCCTTTTGAATCCCAACAAAGCAATGAAGTAATTAGTATTATTTACATTTTCTAGAAGAGAAAACTGAAGCCTTTTCAGGAAGCTCTGCATAACATCACATTGCCCACAACTGGCAGAAATGGTACTGAGATCCAGGCTTCTCTCACTCTGAATACCTGGTCTGAATCACTACACCAAGGTTCTTTAAGTAATCTTGACACTGCTTCACTCCTTTAAGGTGTGATCACTCTTAATTTAGAAGTAGAAGAAAGATTCTTGCTGAGGATAAAAGACGGGACCCAAGGCTGACCCAGGCAATGGAGGTACAAGACGATTATTACAGAGTATTTGCTCCCTCTGGGTTGTCCTTAAAAATTCTGATCAGAGGCTGGGCATGGTGGCTCACGTCTGTAATCCCAGCACTTTGGGAGGCTGAGGCAGGCGGATCACCAGGTCAGGAGATTCAGACCATCCTGGCTAACACGGTGAAACTCTCTACTAAAAATACAAAAAATTACCCGGGTATGGTGGTGGGCGCCTGTAGTCCCAGCTACTTGGGAGGCTGAAGCAGGAGAATGGCTTGAATGCGGAAGGCGGAGCTTGCAGTGAGCCGAGATGGCACCACTGCACTCCAGCCTGGGAGACAGAGCGAGACTCTATCTCAAAAAAAAAAAAAAAAAAAAAAAAAATTCTAATCAGAGAGTTGGGAGGAGGGCTGAAGTGGAGAAAGCTGGAACTTTTTTTATTTAGATAAAACATGCTGTTAGTACAAGTTTCCCAAAACCAAGGGGAAAATGAGGAGTGCCTGCTTTAAAATTATTGAAGGAAATTCTAAGCAGTCAATGAAGATGGTTATGTTCCAAATACAAGTTCTGATTATGTGATGCTCTTGCAGTTTGAGAATTTTTTGATGTATTTAATAAGGTCAGTTACAGGTATGTATGTTCATACAGAGAAGATGTGTATACCACGTTGGAAAAGAAGATGAGAAGGAGAGAGAAAGCAAAATTAGCTAATAGGAAATGATAAATACACACCCAGGTAAAATCAAAAAATGAATCTTTGAAGATTACTTCCAATGCCATTATAAATGCTTTTTACAACCACTGATATGCTGAACATACGCAATTAAACTCAGAAGTGATTTATTTTAACCAACAACCCTCTATACACACACCCCAAAAAAGGAAAAGAAAAACTAACAGACCTCAAAGTTCTAGGAAATCAGATATAGTACTTGCAGAGTCATAAATAATAAAAATAAAAACAATATATTTTAACATATAAAATTTTTAAGGAATGATAAAATGTAAAGCTAAAACTCCATTTTGAAATAAAATTATCTTGAGAAGAATACAGAATTTCTAAAAGTTCTGTATTTGAATAATTCATGAACATCTTGAATATACACTGCTCTTCTAACCTAGAAATTCCACTACTATGTCCCCGGAGTCGCAATTACCTTCCACAGTGAACCACAACAGCAACCAGGTCGTACATTCTGTCTGGATTGGTGGCATCACCTGAAGTGTTAAATAGACGAAGTTCTAAAGGGAAAACTACCCGGTAAGAGAGTTTTGTGTATCGATGAAGTTGATCCATATATTTAAATCTCTTCAGGTGTAGAGCTAGAATCATGGGCAGTTTTTTAACTTTCATCCTATTAAAAATAAAAATGAAAACAAAATTTCACAAAAGATAACCACCATGTCCTTGAATTATCAAACTATGATATCCAACGAACAGATAGTCAATGGTCAGTTTTAATAGCCCAGCGCCGCCCAGTTTCGCACATTTCTACCAATTATTTTTATAATGACAAAACAATGTTCTGAACATCTTAAGACGACCCCACCCTACCGATCATCGGCACACCACATAATTTGACACAGCACTCAACATGGCTCCAAAACAGATGGAATGGCATTAGTCCTTGGTTAAGGAATCTGTATTTTTCAAACACACATCTCTTATAATAAGGCTAAATGCACAGGGTGCTCAAGAGTGGTAGAGGGAAAACAAGTTTCTTGAAACTGACAGTTCCTTTGGACTTGGGTAGACTGAAATCTATTTTTTCTATCAATCTATATGATGCAGGTACAGACTGACAATAGGAGACTAAACAAAAGCGCTAAAGACCATTCAAGGTGCTTGTCAGAGACAAGAAATAACTCCATATTAAGAAAAATGACTATGTATTTCCTAGAAAGGGAATAAAATAACCTGGAAACTTAGGAGTTAAGTTTTTAATTGTGAAACACAGGCTGTTCTTCATGTTCTAAATAATCTTTATTATGCCTTTAAATGCCATTTCTCCCTGAGAGTGCCTTTGTACTCCTACTTCACCTAAAAATCTATTCTTTTAATGGCTCAGCTCAAATGTCACACCCTCTGGCACAAATACCTGCTCTCTTCAATCCTCCATCAGCGCTTTACAGGTTCACTTTATATATGTCAAGCTTATTACATGGTAACAATTTTAGGTGATTACGGTTCTTTTCTTCTAGGCCCTGAACTCGTGGCAGCTAGAAAGCATTCCCTTCATTTTTATTTCCCCACTATCTAGCAACATGCCTGACATAGGATAGATGCCAAATGTTGCAGAACTGAATTTTAAATGGGTCTGGTGAAGCAAAATACTCCTCACAATTTAAACAAGTGAGATATATGGTAAGCCACATGTCTCTAGTAAGTGAAAAATCATTTTATAACATTATACTAAATCTGCATTCTACATGTCTTAAATATGGTGGATAGCTTATTATTCCTAAATTACTTACTATTCGAGTAACTTAGCCTTTTGGAAACATTAGCCAAAGTAAAGGTAAACAACTAGTCACTCCTAGAAAGCAATCCAGCAATATGAATTGGGAGCCTTTACGGCCTTTGTCTCACTAATCCTATTTCTAGAAACATAAATTAAATATATAATCTCAAAAACATCCCTTATGAGAATAATCTACTTGTAGAGTTCTTTTACATTGTAACAAATCCCAACTATTCAACAACAGGAAATGTAGAAATAAATTAGAATTCAAACATGACAGAGTGTTGTACAACTTAAATAAAACAATGCTGATGAAAGTTTCCAGGTGACATGGGAAAATACTTAAGAAGTCAGGATATAAAATTATACATAAAATTTAATTCAACTATGAATTACCCATGTAGAGTTCCTGAAACAAAATCTTTACAAAACATCAAGGTATCCTTTGAGAATTTCCAATGGATGGTAGATGCAAAAGACGAATTTTCTCAGCATAAAATGAGTGTCAGTGTACTATTAATAAATAGCAGTCAGGTAAGACTAGGAAGAGGAAAGAGAATGAACTTGGCCTCATGGTTAGGGAACATGTGTTTTTAGCAATTACACAAGGCGGGGGGAGTCCAAATGCAGAAAAGAGAAAATGTCTCAGTAATAGCAGATATAATGTTTGATAAGACAACACATGAAGAATATGAATCCTATTTGCCAAAGATCCTCCCAGGGGAGAAGTGCTGGCTACCACAAAGAAACCAACTATCCATGGAATTGTCAAGCAAAAATATGTGTGGAGCCATATTTTAAAGATGATGAGAGACTAGCTTACAACATTTCCCTCATATTGAAATGGTTCCAGAAGAAAAAGCAGAAAGCTGCTTGAACATACGTGTAACGAGCGTGAAACTCATGTCGATTTTGCAGCAGAAGGAAGAAAAAAGAAGTTGACTTCCTGTTCAAAACACTAAGACCAGCAAAACACCAAAGAATGTATAAGGTTCTGGCTTTCCTTCCATTCCAACTTGTGGGGAGGGAGGTTACATTAGGGAGGTCTTGATCACTGTCATTGTTTTAAAAAAAAGTTGTCTTAGAACATAGTGTTTTCTACAAAAGACAAACATTTTGAAGAAAAAAGAGGAAGACAGAGATCATTATTCTCCTTTTTAAGTTTGAATAAACACTGATTTTTAAAAATCTTCTGTAAGCAGATATCAATTTTCTATTTAAATTTATTTTTTTAATGACATTTACCGACCACACAAACAACTACTTAAAATTTGGATGAATTTCTATTATTCAGTTGGCCCTCCATATTGGGAGTTCCACATCCACAGATTCAACCAGCCATGAATTGAAAATACCCAAAAAATAAATAACTAAAAATAAAAAAGACAAATGCCATTTTAAAAAACACAGTACAACAATTATTTATATACCATTTACATTGTATTACGTATCGAAATACATAGGAGTATATGCATAGGTTATATGCAAATACTTGTCATTTTACATCAGGGACTTGAGTAACCATGCATTCTGCTGTAGGTGAGGGCCCTGGAACCAACTGACACTGAGGCACAACTCTATGTGTTTTCTTGCTGTTACATCTTTAAAATGACAAAGTGCATTCATGTTGTATTATAACATAACAGGAGGTTGCCTATCCCGATAATGTCTAGTTATAATTTAAAACTATTCCAAAAAAGCACAAGGATGGGAAAAGACATACCATGTAAACACCAATCCTAAGTAAGCTGGCTATACTAATGTCAGACAAAGCATATAAGATAAGGAATCTTACCAGAAATAAAGACTACTTCATAATAATGGTCAATTAACTAAGAGAACGTAACAATCTTAAAAGCATATGCTCCAAAATTTTTTCAAATTTCAGAAATAAACAGACAAGTGCATAATCAGAATTGGAATCTTTAACAGACTTCTCTCACTAACAAAAAAAATCAGTAAGGACAGGAAAATATGAACATCCTAACTATGGACTTAATTGACATTTATGGAATACTCAACCCCAAACTGCACTATATACATTATTTTCAAGTTCAACCAAAACACTCACTAATGTACTGGACAATAAAAGAAGTCTCAGTAAATTTCAAAGATGAAATCAGAGTATGTCCTCTGATGAAAAAATCTAGAAAACCCCCTAGCTACGGAAACTAAGCAACCCATTTCTAAATAAGCCATAGGACAAACAGAACATCACAAAGGAAATCAGAATATATTTTTAAATGGATGATTATTATGACACTACAACATCCTCTCATTTTAGGTCCTGTTCCCTAGGGCAGACCCTGAGACAGAAAGTCCCAGGCCTGTGATTTATTAATGTCATGCTCCCTGTGTATGGTGGGGGGGCGGGGGGAAGGAAAGCAGGTAAGGATTCAATCTCAAGCAAAATCCCAGGAAGAGTGGCTTCAGCTCAGTGTCAAGAGAAGCCCTGGAGTCTAAATTTCACCTCCGATTTCTCTTGACCACAAGGTAGCTGGGGTTTCATACGCTCTTTAGCACCTGTCAGTGACTGGTCAAAAACTGGGAATTTGAACCAAATTCCCAGAAACTCCCTTCTCCAGTAGCCCAAGGGGGAGTCCTTCCCAGAGCCATCAGGTGCTAAGTAGTCCAAAAGGCTAGGGGAGGAGCTGGAAGGACTGACATTGCCTGCAACCACCCTCAACCGGAATACCAACTGTCCTGCCACAGGCAAGCAACACCAGTACAGGATGGAACGCAGACCCCGGAATCCAGTGGAATCAGCTGTTTTTCTCAACAGTCAGAAACTCTTTTTAAATTTCCTATTTTTATAAACTGTGTGAGCCAAACAGAGTTCTACAGATGGAATGTGATCCAGAGGACACTATGTGCAAGCTCTGCCACAGATGAATGTAATACCCCAGCCACAGGCACTTAAGAGCTTACCAACATCCTGTCAGCACAGAAGTCCTGACCACACAGAAAAGCTTAATAATTTTACAGACATTCAGTTCCAAGGACTGAATTCCATGCCCTTTTAAAAGGTGCCATCAACAAGGATTAATTGTGACACATTACAATGAGGCGGTCAGGGCGAATAGAATACTTTATGTGAGAAAGTCACTAAGGTGACTCCGTGAGATATAAGCAATGAGAGGACATTTAGGTAGCAGAACCTAAACTCCAGCATGTGTCAAAATGGGGGATAGGTCACAGGCATAAATGAGGCTCATGGCATACCCCAACATGTGTAAAAAACGTAGTATTGAGGGACGGACATCCAGGAAGGCATGTAGGCAGGGAGCCAGGAGGCACCAACTTCTCAACAGATGGAAGGACCCGCCCAACTCAGATTCCAGAAGACTTGCATTGGGCTGTGTGTGCAAGAGGTGGTCGGAGATGTTGACTATAGCAAGGCAAATCCCTATTGCCGATATGATTTCACATGATACTACACAAGTTACCATGACTGGGACTGACTACAGGGGAAAAAGATATGAATCTAGTTAAGAAAATGAAGCAAAAGGAAGGGCCTTCATCTCACAAACAGGAAGCAATTCAATCATTAAATCTAGGGCAGATACTCAGAGATGGACTGTGGCCATGACAATGTGATGCTGAGTCACCTGGCCATGCATGGGTCTTCTTCAATACCTGGTAAGAACAGGACTGGTCCCAAAAGTGGGGTCAGGCACATACGGAATAAAAGGACAGTAAAGAGACTTGAGAGAGGAAAGATGAGAAGGCAAAGAGCTCAGCTCCCAGTCCATTGTCACTAATCATTGGATCCCACAGAGTAGTGACAGAAATACAGGCATACCTTGGAGATACAGAAAGTTCAGTTCCAGGCCACTCCAATAAAGTGAAGACTGCAATAAAGTAAAGACCACAATAAAGCAAGTCATACACAT